ATAAAAGAGCTTATTCTCTCATCTTAAAGCTTTTCCATTTTTCCGGTCCTTAATTTCCTGAAAAGCATATGCACTTAGACAAAGGAAAAATATAAAAAAGAACAATTTTGGTAAGAAAATTCGATTTCCATTAAGAAGTGAATGTTGGAGGGGAAAAAAATCTTCCAATTTTGTTATTCCCAATCAAGATCAACATAGGTAAGCCACAGGTGCAAAACAACATATCCACTATCATAAATAATAACTCGTTCACACGAAGCATATTAAAGGCTCCAACTTTGGATACATTTTACTAAGAAATCTGTTCTCTCAAACTAAGTTAATTGTCCTACTAATCACTGAAACTTGTGTAGTGCCTTCTACTGCTCACTAAAATTTAAAATGTCGAGTCTTGCCTACTAAACGTATCCAAAAGTTTGATGATACTCACCTGCATATCATCCGTTTCAAACCTCTAACGGAATTGGTGATGTGTCTAACGAAATGCTTAGGCCGCACCCCATCACGCCGTTAAAGTGTCTTTTATTGCTCACTAAACTTTGAAAAACATTTTCAATTGCTCACTATATTTGAAAAATGTCTTAGTCAAATTTTAGTCACTAAACTTATAAAAATGACATCGGCCTGTTGTTGGTTAAAAAATATGTACCACAAGTGCACGAGTCGCATGCAATTAATAAAATAGACAAACAAATCCAAGTTGTTGATCCCACGAGAAATGATTACTCAATTACACAATAATTAAATTTCATTTTAACAACGAAACACATAATAAATTTGAATTTTTCAAATGATAAAATACCTTCGAATCTTTAAAAAAAAAAAATCAATTAATAAAATTGAGGAAAGATCTTATGTTTGTGATCTTTTCATTATTTTTCTAGAATTTTAAGCTATATTTGTCATTTGTAAAATTCAAATTTGTTGTGTTCCGTTGTTAAAATTAAATTTAACTATTGTGTAATTAAGTAATCATCCCTCATGGAATCGACAATCCAAATTCATTTGTCCACTTTATTATTTATACGTGATACATGCTCACGGTACCCACTTTTTAACGAAGAACACATCGACGTCATTTTTAAGACCTCAAAGTTCAGTGAGTAATCGAAGACATTTTCCAAAGAATAATAAGCAATAGAGACATTTTCCAAAGTTTAGTGGGCAATGAAATATGCTTTCTTACGTGACAATCTGATAATGACGTAATGGGACATCACCACCCGTGCATTCCGTAAGCCACGTCGCTAATTGCATTAGAGATTTGAAACGGACGATATATTAGTGAGTAACGTCCAAGGGTGGGATAAATTTAACGATCAAAACTCGACATTTTAAAATTTAGTGTGAAATCAAAGACAACAACAAAAAATAATAATAATAATAATAATTCAATAAACAGATATATAGCAAAAATTAAAAAATAAAAGAAAAAAACCAAAAGTTCCCACATGTAACCATTTTCACGTTTAAAACCATATACAAACGTATAAAGAATTGACATTCAGTGTCAATCGATATCATGGAACCTGGAGGACGCTGTTACAATAGCAAGTGTTGCCGAAATTCTCAAGGCCGAAATATCGTTCACCTTCTGGGAATTGGTCTCCCAATGCCTTCTCCAGTTTTGAGCCCGCTGCTCCCATCCCTCCCTCACTTCATCCGAACCTTGCTTCCTCTTCTATATATAAATAATATAAAGTTTTATATCTATATATGTATGAATTTTGCAAGAAAAACTAGGGTTTGTCACGGAGAAAAAACCGAGAAAATGACAATAAATTTGCAGAGGAAAATTTTGAATTGATTTGGAATAGTGATAAATGGAAAACAAAGGAACGAAAGCTTTTTAAGACGGAGGAGGAGACCCAAAGATAGAACAGGAAATTCTTAAAATGCTTCGTTGGATGTGCCAAGTGAAAAATGGTACCAAGTTTTAACTTATTATTTCTAAAAATATTTTTTTTTTTTTTAAATGGAAAGTCCATTAAAGTTTATTGGTAAATGACATTTGTACCTCCGTAACCCTAAAAATTATTACTATTGTATCCCTGATTCTTATTTATAAATATAGGGCTTTGATTTTCAATAATACACACAAAAAGTTTATTGAGTTTTTTCTATTCTCTTTGAGTTTTCTCTATTTTCTTTTCTTCTTATTTTATAACACGTTATCAGCACGAAACTCTTAAAAGGTAGTAATTTTTTTTTCATAATCATCTATCACATATATCAAAATTAATTTAATAATACGTAAATTTTACATATACATATGTTGAATCTGCAATACGTGATCTCATCTTTCTCGATCATTATGTTTTCTTTGTACTTCTCTTTGAATTAATTAATATTTTTTCCTTTACATCAATCAACGTGCATTTTTATGGAGATATATTTATGTTAAATCAATTTATATGTCACATTATTAATTCAAAATAATATTTTACATGTGTTTATATATTAATTAATGGTGAGCAATTGAATGTATTATCATTTTTTTTATGTTTAGTTATGAAACATTACATTAAATTTATTTTTAATTGTTGTTGCTCCTGAAATAGCACAACATTATAATTAATATTTCAGAAGAATATTAATCATAGATTTATTCGTTGTTGCTTCATAAGTAGCACAACATTATAAGAATATTATTTGCTCCTGAAGAGTATAAATTATAACTCTCAATATTCCAGAAGAATATTGACATATTGCACTTGAAGAAATAATAGCAAAATATAATGCGCTCCAGAAGTAGCATATGTTTCGAAGAACATATTATTTCAAATTAGTGTTTATCCCTAGAGGAAAACACGTAACTTTAAAGTCATGTTGATATTGACTATTTGATTAACATGTGATGATTAATCATATTCTTCGAAACTAATTGTATTTTTTTATTGTGTAGTTAAACAAATGGCAAACATTACGAAACTTGAGTTTACTGCACTTGACATATCTAGTAAAAATTATCTGTCATAGATACTGAATGCTGATATCTATCTCGTCTCAAAGGTTCTGGGAGAGACAATGAAAGAAAGAAACAATGAATCCCTGCAGGATCGTGCAAAAGCACTCATTTTCCTCCGTCAACATCTTCACAATGGATTAAAAATTGAATATCTCACTGAGAAAGATCCACAAGTTCTTTAAAAAAGGTTAACTGAAAGATCTGATCATCAGAGGACTATAGTCCTCCCCAAAGCCCGTTATGAGTGGATGCACCTTCGTTTGCAAGACTTTAAAACAATTAGTGAGTACAATTCTGAATTGTTTAGAATATGTTCAAAGTTGACTTTACTTTGAACTTTGCGTGGAGAAAAAATCACCGACGAAGATATACTCGAAAAAACTTTCTCCACCTTTCATGCCTCGAATGTCTCCTGCAGCAGCAATATCGTGAGCGTGGCTTCAAAAAGTACTCAAAACATATATCTTGTCTACTAGTTGCTGAACAAAATAATGAATTGTTGATGAAAAATCATGGATTACGTCTAATTGGTTCTGTACCATTGCCTGAAGCAAATGGTACTACATTGTCTGCAACAAGTACAATATCAAGACAAGGACACGGACACGGATGTGTACGTGGAATAAATCATGGAAGAAATAATCAACAAAGTTATCAACAACAAGGCAATAAATTCAAAAGGCACAAAGCAAACGAGAGTGACAAATCTAAAAAGGAGCATGAAGAAAGTTGCTTCAGATGTGGAATGAAAGGGCATTACGCACGTACGTGTCGTACCTCAAAACATCTTGTGGACCTCTACCAGAGATCAATCAAGGGAAAAGAAAAATTGGAGACTAATTTTGCTGATTATGATGGTTCAATTGATTTGACTCATTTGGATGTCTCTGATTTCTTTACTATCCAAATGAAAATATTGACCATTTGATTGGAGGTGGTGTGATAGAAGATATAGATTAATTTACTAGTATTTCCTTCGTTTTAAAAATTCAGTCTGAAATATGTTTTTACTTTTCCGCACAAAAATAAATAAATAAATAAATAAATAAAACTCTATTATACATCGTTTATTTCATGATATTAAGTAATGTTTACTTCTTTAAATCTAAATTCAAGATTTTTTTTTAAAAATTTTGTTTATTTTATTATATTTATAGATTCATGATGGATAGTCAAGATAGCTGCTTAATTGATAGTGCAACTACACATACTAATCTTCAAGACAAAAAATACTTTTTGGACTTAATATTAGCTGAAAATAATGTTAACACGATATCGGATGCGTCAAATATCGTTGAAAGCTCGGGAAGAGCTTTTATTATTTTACCAAATAATACAAAATTATATATAGACGATGCACTTTATTCTAGCAAATCCAGAAAAAATTTGCTTAGTTTTAAATATATTCGCTGCAATTAATATCACATTGAGACGATGCAAGAAAATAATGTTGAATATCTTTGCATCACTTCTTTTTTATTTGGCAAGAAGCAGATAAAAGAAAATTTTCATGCACTCCCGTCTAGCATGTATTTTACATTTATAAAATGGTCGAATCAAATAATGTTACGAACCAGAAGTTCGTCGATTCAAAAAGTTTTATACTTTGGCATGATCGACTTGGATATCCAGGAGTCATAATGATGTGTCGAATAATAAACAACTCACATGGACATCCTTTAAAGAACCAGAAAATTCTTTTATCTAATGATTATCCATGTGTAGCTTGTTCACAAGGTAAGTTAGTCATTAGACCTTCAACTACAAAGGTCAATATTGAATCTCCAACTTTCTTGAAAAGAGTACATGGAGATATATGTGGGCCAATACACCCACCATGTGGACCATTTCGTTATTTTATGGTATTAATTGATTCTTCTACAAGATGGTCAGATGTTTGCCTACTTTCAACTAGGAATGTAGCATTTGCTAGACTACTTGCTCAAATCATAAAATTGCAAGCACAATTCCCCGATTACTCAATCAAGACTATTCGTCTTGACAATGCTGGTGAATTTAGATCACAAGCATTTGATGATTATTGTATGTCAATTGGGATTGAAATTGAACATTCAGTTGCACATGTTCATACACAAAATGGTTTAGCGAAATCGTTTATTAAACGTCTACAACTTATTGCTAGACCATCACTTATGAAAACAAAACTCCCAACTTCTGTTTGGGATTATGCCATATTACATGCTGCATCATTGATTCGTATAAGACCAACTGTCTATCATCAATATTCACCTTTGCAACTTACATTTGGTCATGAACCTGATATTTCTCACCTACGGGTTTTTGGTTGTACTGTCCAAGTTCTCATTTCACCCCTACAACGTACTAAAATAGGTCCCCAACGAAGACTTGGGATTTATGTGGGTTTTGATTCACCATCTATTATTAGATATCCTGAACTTTTAACGGGTGACTTATTTACTGCACATTTTGCAGATTGTCATTTTGATGGAATGACTTTCCCAACTTTGGGAGGAGAAAAACTACATCCTGAAAAGCAAAATAGAGTTTCTTGGAATGAGATAACTCTATCTCACTTTGATCCCCGTAACAATCAATGTGAACAAGAGGTTGAAAAAATCATTCATTTGCAAAGAGTTGCAATTCAACTACCTGATGTATTTGTTGACACGAGAAAAGTGAGAAAGTCATATATTTCAGCAGAAAATATTTCAGTAAAAATTAATGTCCCTGCAGGACAATCTGCTGTGGCAAATGAATCTCAAATACGCCAGAAGCGTGGTCGACTAGTTGGTTCAAAAGACTCTGTACCTCGAAAAAGAAGAATGCAGGAGAAAAACCAACCAAAAATTTCAGAAGAAATCACATTAGAAAAGATTGATCAATCAAATATTGAATGTACGGTTCCTGAAACACCAGAGGTGTCCGAAAATAATAAGATCTCAATAAATTATATGATATCTCATAAATTATGGGAACGGAATAATATTATTATAGACAATATTTTCGCCTTTAACATGGCTCTTTATATTATGTAAAATGAAGATCCTGAACCACAGTCTGTTAATGACTGTCGAAATAGAAATGATTGGCTGAAATGGAAAGAAACCATACAGGCAAAATTGAATTCTTTTGAGAAATGAAAAGTGTTTGGACTAGTAGTTCGAACACCTGAAAATATAATCCATGTTGGATACAAATGAGTTTTTGTACGAAAGAGAAATGAGAATAATGAAATTACAAGATACAAAGCCCGACTAGTGGCTCAAAGTTTCTCCCAAAGATCGGGAATTGATTATGAGGAAACATATTCTCCCGTAATGGATACCATCACTTTTAGGTTCTTAATTAGTTTGATCGTGTCACAAGGGCTCGATATGCGCCTTATGGATGTAGTAACTGCTTACCTATATGGTTCACTTGACAGTGACATATATATGAAAGTTCCTGAAGGATTTAAGGTGCTAGGAATAAATGATACATGTCCGAGAATTATGTTCTCAATTAAATTACAAAAATCATTATATGGATTGAAACAATCCGGACACATGTGGTATAATTGTCTTAGCGAATATTTGTTGAAAGATGGTTATAAAAATGACGATATCTGCCCATGTGTTTTCATAAAGAAAAACAAATATTGGATTTGCAATTGTAGCAGTTTATGTTGATGATTTAAATTTAATTGGATACTCCTGAAGAGCTCAACAAAATTGCAGATTATTTGAGAAATAAATTTGAGATGAAAGATTTGGGGAAAACCAAATTTTGTTTTGGATTACAAATTGAACATTTTTCAAAAGGATTATTTGTTCATCAATCTACTTATACAAAAAAAAGTCCTGAAACGAAAAATAAGGATAATGCACATCCATTGCCATCACCTATGGTTGTTCGATCATTTGATGTGAAAAAAGATCCATTTCGTCCACTTGAAGATGAAGAAAAGATTC